GTCAATATGAAGTTGTTGTGTAGCTTGATGTACAACCTACTACTCAATGTGTTTATCTCTTAATTTGATTCTAGGGATAATGTTTCAAATGTAGATAGATTTTTCATCTATCAAATGTGTTTGGGGTTGCACTAAACTTGTCAAGTTTATTTTTCAAAAATTGGAAGTCATGTCTCAACTAGAGAGACCATGACAATAGCAAAGAAATACCCACACCCTATAAAATGCTCTTTACTAGAGTCATTGAGGTTATCGGCATTAGCACCACCAACTATGAGAAAGACAAGGGGGTAATAGAGATCAACCACACCACCTTTCGATGCATGGGAATAACTCACTTCTTTCCTAGCCACAAAAAGAGGAGTGTGGAGCTAAAAGTTGAAGCAGGTCTTGAGTCCAAGACTAAGTGACCTATAACTGGCCAACTTTCTTCACATGGCCCTTCCATAACCCAACATGTCCAAACACCACCACCACAAAAAAATCTATCAATACCCTTAATCCAAGGTTGATTGACCATTGTGGAGTCATTTTAAAAACTAATTACGTACATAGGACTTTTTTGAAACTACTAACACCTTTGAGGCTATTTACTGTAGAGTTGCTATGGGTCATAACAACTTTAGTGCCACATGTCAATTTTTTTAAAATGATGGCTTGAATTTAGCCATGTAGAAGTCGCTACAATCGGTAGCGACTTTAATAGTGTCGCTACTAGTTGTTCCAACCTGTCAAACAACTCAAATGGCATCAGTGTAACTTTTATTAAGTATTACACTCCTTGATAACTTTATTTAAATATGAATTTTGTAAATCCAATGGTTGAATTATAATTTCATATCACTTTATATGTTTATATAAAATTTTGTTAAAATTGAACAACAACTTGAAAATAATCAAAGTGTTTATATTTTATTATATTTTGAAATGCATATATTACGTCAATTTTGTTTTATATGAATAAAGTATCAAATTATCTTGGTTTTGTCGCCACCGGCCCGAAACGGGCTTTCGGCA